TAACACCTTTCAATCATACACACTATGGAGTTGATCAACGTGAAAACATGTTTGCTCCTTATTTGCTGTGCTAAAAGACTACGTTTTTAAATAAAGTTTTAACTGATTTTTTGTAGAAACAAAAACACTATGTTCCAATTATTTTGTTTCTCTCTTTAATCACACCCGGACATTGCTGTGCTAAAAGACTACGTTTTTAAACAAAGTTTTAACTGATTTTTAGCAGCAGGACACGGGCATTACCTGGGCCCGGTCCATTTAGTCCTGGCTGACAGAGACCCCCTCCCTACCCCCCCAAAAAAAGGATTCCTGTGCTGATCCATGGATTGCAGAGGCAGCTCAAGTTGGCTTTTACTTTGAAGTCACCAACGGTTAAAATAGGGCAGATCCAAACAGCAACAAGAACTGTCGAATCAGATTGTTGCTGCATGGTGTAATGGCACTCTCGCTCTGTGTGTGTGTGTGTGTGTGTGTGTGAGCGTGTGCACATTCCCCGCACTCCATTCATCTCCTCCCAACCAGACCACTTCACTGTGCTACCAGCACGGACCTTAACAGTAACACTTCTCTGTCAAGTAAACAGAATAAGAGGTCGTCAACTGCAGACTGTATACAGCACATGAAGCTCCTTACTTCATCAACAGGAACGCATTCAGTGGCGGTTCGCTGGAACTGCGGGCCAAAATTGTAAAATGACAATCAATTTACCATACAATGTAATACTAAAAAAAAGTTGCCAATGTTCGAGTTCCCTCACTGGGTCAAAGGGTGGGCCTGCAGCTGTTGCTCTAGTACTACGAAAGTTGCTGTCAATATTTATGTGTTTTTTTTTTTAGAAAAACATCCACAGATGCACATCCAAGAAGTCTGTCCTCATCCTCCCTCCACACTGGTTCAAGTCCCAGATTCTCTGTAGTCACACACTCACTGTACATTGCAGTATCAAGGTGTGTTAATTGACTTAACTGAACATGTGAATGGGTATGTTTCAGATTTTTAATTCAAAACTACTGGCCTGTGGACTCATTTGGACCCATCACATCATTAAATGTGGCCCGAGATCACAACGTGTGTACGGTTTCTTAACATAACAGTCAATAATATAGAGTTTGTACTTAAAGTTTACTAGATGGGTTAAATGCAGGGGTCAAAGTTCATGACCTGGCACGTAAATAATGTATGTATCGCCCAGAAATATAGTCATCTATATGATGTAAGTTGGCCTTTAAGTGACTGAGTGACTGTTCAAGTTTACATATTAGCTTGTCATTTAAAGTTTACTGAGAACAATGGCATTACTAATTGTCTCTCTCCTCCTAGAGGCAGGCTTTAAGAAATTCTGTGCCTTCAAGATTACGAAAAGAACACAGGGAGAACTCGGTCCCGAGGAAAAGACGAGACAATACTGAACACGCGAGCGAACTCGCCGCCAGGAATGCACTTGTGTTTCAGCCAATCAAACTAGGACTTGAAGAAGTCATAGGGTCACATTTTGTTTTTGGTTTTTTTTTTCATCCTGTGCTTGGATTGCATATTCACACAAGTGCACACAAGATGAAAAATGTTTTGGCAAGTTAGGAGAAGTTGAAAGGGGCACTGGGGCAGATAGGAACACAGGAGGAAACACTTAGAAAAAGGCCCTAACAGCAGTTCATTTCCTTAACAAACTGTCGTCCCGGGCCAACACTGGAAACAGAACACACAGCTGCTGGAGCCTCCGTTCATTTTCTGCAAGCTTTGATATATTGAACTTGTTCAGCATATGACAATCTTCAATCTGTGGGTGACGAAAGCTGTTTATTTTATATATTTATTAGTAAATCTTACACTAACACGTGTGACTACACTCAGCTAATGGTATACGGTTTATATATTAAACTTTTTTTAAAGTTTTTTTAAAGAAACGTTTTGTAAGTTTGAATGTCATACACTTCATACAGCAGCAACATTAAATTTTTCCTCTTAGCTGTGACAGGTTTGCCTCACATTTGGCAACCAGACCTTGGACACTGGTGGACATTACTGGACTGCACTTCAGTTGACCTAATTAAGAGCACTGGAAGTGATTATAGCATCGCCTAGTAACGCGAATGCAATAATGTCAGCCAGCTGCTGGCGGTATTTAAATAATAACACGTTATTTAGAGGGCTCTTTTAAAGTCACCCGACAGGTTTTGGTATCAGTGTGAAAAAACAATTTAAAAAGACATGTAACACAAGTGGAAAACAACTGATAAAAAGTGA